AGGTCAGTTAAGAAACTGAATCATAAAAATAATAATCAGTGTAGAAAGTATCACGACGGATACTTCAGATATTATAAATATCATTGAGACGTGCTGGCTCAGGCAGATAACAAAGAACTGCTGAGAAAATGTTACCAGAAGGGAAGTAAGAAAACTTGCCCTGTAAATAATTAAATAGCTGGAGCGCTATAGTGAGAGAAGTAATCAAAGAATTACATAATTGGATACTACCGTAACAAGGGATAAATAATATTTTAACCAAATCAAGAGATTTGTGTGAGATGCAGAATTTTGATCTCACACTACTAAAATCCAAAAACTCCAAACTAGGACAATTTTTGATTTCAAGTTGATTAAGACCATATTCTTTAATAGAAACAAAACTGAGTTTAGGTAAATTAATAAGATTTAATTCATTCAGACCATTATTTTCTGCACAATCCAAATTCTCTAGTGCTTCACAACCATCAACATTCAATGTTTTTAGTAAATTGTCAAAATCAATGGAAGCATTAGCACAATATAAATCTTTTAAGTTTTTTAGTCCACTGCAATCCAATTTTCTCAAATTGTTATGATAACAAAATGAGTTCTCTAATTCTGTTAAATGCTTTACTTCTAGTTCTTCAATCTGATTTTCATAGCAGTAAATGTGCTTTAATTTTTTATTATTAGTCAAATTTAAACTACCTAAAACATTTAAACCAACATTTAAATACTCTAAATCAGCAAGATTAGTTAAATCAAGTCAAAGGCTGCTTAGATTATTGGAAGCCAATTTTAAAGTATGTATTTGCTCTGCCAATTCCAAAAATCCTAAGCCACAATGATTAGCATGTAATTCTTTTAATTCCTTACATGCACTAACATCTAAAAAATCAATTCCCTCTTCATTTTGATAATTATTTGAACAATCCAAATATTCCAATTTCTTACACTCATACAAATCCAAATCAGTTAGTTCATTATCACTACAATCTAAACTCTTTAAATTAGTAAATCCTTCTAAGTTTAATTCTCCTTGTAATCCTAAATTACTCAAGTCTAGTTTCTCCACTTCACTTCTTTTGTCAAGAGGATACTTAGTATCTAACCAAGTTTGAGCATCACCATCTACCCTACTTCTTTTTATGGTATCTTCTAATCCCAAAGCATCTAATCTTGTTTTTTCCTCGGCAGTTAAAGGATTATCGCTATAAGAGATAGTTCTTAGGTTCTTTGCTTTTAACTCTTCAACTGGAAAGTCTCATTTAGTTAATTGATTATTATGGGTATAGATTTCTTGAACAGAAGGACAGTTCTCTATCTTTAAATTAGTAAGTTTATTATGTGTTACTTGAACTAATTTTAAGTCAGGGCAATTGCAAATAATAATATCTTCTAATTCATTATTACCTAAGTTTAATTGAGTTAAATCAGGAAAGTTCTCTATTACTACTTTACCAGTATAGCCTTGTTGAATAAAACAAAGAGTTTTAATTTTTTCTTTAACACTGGCTAAATTGTTAAAATCCTTTTCTTCTTGTTTTGCTTTTAGCCTTAATCAATTTGTTAATCAGGCTTGATTTTCATATTCTTGGTTTGTCATGAGAAATAGTTAATAGTTACACATTTATTATAATCAATTACATATATAAATATATTTTAATGCATTCATCTTGGTCTTGGAGAAGTAATATCTTTGAATTCATCTCTAACAAATGGGCAAATATTCTGGTAAAGATATTCTTGTCTTTTGTATTGCGAGCATGCAATCTGAGTTTCCTAATTAATAGGTTATTTATAGCTCAACACACAGCCTACTTGCTGACTTACAGTCAAGTTTCCTTTAATTATATATATATGACACACAGCCTACTTGCTGACTTACAGTCAAAGATTAATAATAAAAATAACTTTTATCTTCCTGGATAAAAGGGTCCCTAGGTTCTATGTAAATGATTATAT